TTCCTGCTGCTTCTCTCTCTCTCTTTGGAGGAGACATCTTCATCACCAATGAAAAGAGTCAAAGGTGGGTTGAGGGAAGCTACAGCTGCCCCTTCTTCAGGAGGCCTTCCTGGGACTGAGAGTCAGACAGCAGGCAAGGACTCATGTCGGATGAAGGAACTTCTACTGTGGCTTCAGAGGACTAGCTCTGCTCACCCACCCTCCCCTGCTCCCCTAAATTACTCCTAGAGCACCTAATAAACTGACAGCCCTCTCCCATTCACTCAATCCCGTTTCCATATGTCTCTTCCTGGTCCTTACATACTTTTTCATTTTGTGATGTGAAGAACTGATAAGGCCATACAGTGTTACCTCTCAAACTAAGATGCGTTTTGAGGGGCACTTGTCTGGCTCAGTTGGTTGAACATCTGACTCTTGATTTTGGCTCAGGTCCTGATTTCACTGTTTGTGAGATTGGTCCCCCGCTGTCTGCGGAGAGAATCCTGCTTGGGATTCTCTCTCTCCCCGCCTCTCTGCCCCTCCCCCACTCGTGGGTGCTCACTCTTTCTCTGTCTCTCTGAAAATAAATAAATAAAGTTAAAGAAATTAAATGAATAAATGCATAAATGCAATTTGAAAACAGCAAGAGAGGAGGGAGGCAGACAGGAAGAGAAAGAGAGAGACAGAGAACATCATTATGCCCAGAATGCACCTATATTATTGGTGGAACTTCAGACCTTGCCAGGAGTCCTTTCCAGATCTTCTGAACCATATTACGTGGCTGCCTAAGAGGAAAGACTTGTAGCAATTTATCGTTTCCCACCCCCGCCACCAGAATTCTAATCCTGTATCCTCTCTGAATGTTACAGCAATGCCTGGACTGTTCGGAATGGCAATTATGGCCCCAAACTCAGTGACAACTGGTTTTGGGTCCTGGCTTGGTAACTTACTGTTGTAGCTGTATGCGGATCCTCAGTTTCCTCATCTAGGAAATGGAAATGATACACCTACCTGGCAGCTTTGTTGTCACTGTGAGAATTAGATGAGATTGTGTG